TCCTCAGTTTAGGGTAAATGAGTGGATATGGATGAGGTCCTATATGTGTGGACAACATTTTGTCTATAAAAGTTAACCTGGGGCTAGGGGCATGTCAGTGGTATAGTACTTCCCTGGTATGCACCTAGTCATTAGTTTGATCCAAAGCCCAGAACAATTTACTTAGTAAAGTATTATACTGACTTTTCAGTTGTTTAAAATCCAACACAGAACCAGAAAAAGTGTAAGAAATACTCCTAAACATATGCAATTCTGCTCTTGTTTCTGAGAGTTCAAGCTGTAAAAACACTTTGTAAACACGCAGAAGATGAAAGGCCCTTTCTGGTGATCTGTGTGTAGCACAGTCTCCATGCTTATTAAAGGCCTTTTCCATAAGTTGGTCCTTGACAAAGCTACACTGGTCCTGCCAGGACTCAGAATAATCAGGCTCTCTAGGGTTACAAGCTATAACTGCATTGTAAAAGTATGCTAGGTTTTGAAAGCGTTTGGAAGAACTTCTCAGCCAGTAATAACATGAAAACAAATAATTTCATACTGCCAAATTCACTTAGGGTGTAAAGACATTCTCTCTGAGAGTTGTGGCGTTACTGGCGGAGCTCGAAGGGAGTGCAATTATTCTTCATGTTTCAGGAAATCATGTAACACACTCAATGGCTGTTTGAGCCGTACTTCATTCCACAAGATGCAAGACTCACACTGCTGTGAATACTAACTTCACTCAACAGAGTGATATTCAGTAGCAAGACAAAGAAAAGAAAAGAAAAGAAAAGAAAAGAAAAGAAAAGAAAAGAAAAATGCAAAATATACCCCAAGGCAGATCCAGATGCCATAGTGAGATACAAACTGGAAAGGACAGAGAAACTTCCTAGGTAAAAAAAGTTCTTCCGTTAGGAGCTGCAGTGTGAGACAGACTTAGGGCTGGTACAAGGGTTGGGAAGCACCTGAAACAGGCAGAGATGCAGTTGAAAAGTTAGGAGAAATTATAGCAAATAGCTCACAACACATGTACTAGTGAAGTGGGTAAAAACACTGGAGATGTATGAGTGACTGAGTGTTGGATTGCATAGTTTGTACTTAATTTACTGTTGAGCTAATGAAAGCTTTTAAAATGGAGTGTGGGTCATGATTTGACTATTACTTGGGAGGCTGTTTCTGTAAGAAAACAAGACCGGAAGGAAAACAATTGAGCAGGAGACCAAAAAGAGAGTACACACAACAAGAATCTAGAGCAGAGGTGATCAATATCCAATCAAGGGTGATGGTGATGGAGTTAGAGAGAGCTGGCAGATGGGAGAGCAACGGGCTAGGAAGTATCTATTCCTGGGCTGCGCAATATAGCAGCCTCTAGCCATATGCAGCTATATAAATATAAATCTAATTAAATTTAAGTCAGATTTAAAGTACAGTTCCCCAGTCACGTGGTCACATTTTAAGTATTTAGTGGCTACTGAGGATTATGCAGATAAAGAACAGTGTAGGTCAGGAGTGAAGACCCAAGCCTGTAAACCCAGCCTTTGCGGGGGGCGTGGGGGGGAGGTAGAATGACTTCCCTAAGTTTGGGGCTAGCCTGGACTACACAGCAAGTACCAAGCCAGCTAGAGCTACAAAACAAGATCTGGTTTCAAAGCAAAACAACAGCAGCAAAAAATAATATTAAATATAAATAACATTGCCATCAAGACAGAAGAGTAATTTCCATCCTGGCAGAGCATTCTATTGGACAGTGCAGATTGCTTCGAGGGTGATTGGCATAAAGATAAAGATGAGGGATTAGAGGACCCAAGCCTTGATGTCTTGGTGACTGAGGAAGGTGGTGACAGGAGTAGCCAATGGGAAGACAGGTGGGCCTACCAGATACTTCACATCTGTCAGACTCTAGGGACAATAAGTGAGCCCTAGGTGCAAGGAATGTTAAGTGTCCAGTGGGACTCCCAAAGCTTTGTATGGGAGCCCCGGTGGATCGGGCTGGCTTATTCCTCCCTGTGCTCACTGTCGCCCAGGACTGTGATGCTTCCGATGTTTCTGAGTGTGAGGTCCGTTCTCAGCCCTATCAGGTCAGTGTCTGACACACCCTATGACGAGGACAGGAGCCCGAAGACTGTGCCATTTCTGAAGCTTTTCTACGCCGGTCTGAACCCTCTTCACAGACACGTCATACTTCCTTTCCCCCGGTTGCCTCGCTCACTTCTGCTTGATTTAGGAAAGTCCCCTCAACCTCACTTATTCGATTGCTTCCTCTGGAAATATTCCTTCCCACAGGGGTCACTGCTTTTTACTTGACCTCCTTCCTTTCTCAAGTTAGGTTTCAGAGTCTCTCAACCACTCTCTTACCTACCCTTCATCTCTCTCTCAGCGTCATTCATCAGCAATGGAGGGTGCCTTTTTGAGTGACCTCGATCTAGACATATGGCCACCAACTTAAGAGAGAGGAGTAAGAGAAAGGCACACACACCAGCTCTTACCTCATTCATCCATCCGTCAGCAGCAAACACAGACAGCACTTAGTGCAAACTGGGAAAATGTACATGTGAGGAGTGGGTAGGTGTGTGTGTGTGTTGCACGGAGGATTGACAAAAGGTACCACTCCTAAGGGAGAACAATTAGAAAAGTGCCCTCTCCCCAAAACTGAATTGAGTGCTGGATACTCAGCTTGGAGGGCAAAACAAGGACTAGACTTTAGCTCTCACTGGTCCCCTCTGCTCTGCAGTGACCTGTGCTCACCACAAATATTCATCCATGCTAACCTACATCTGCACCGGTGTTCTGTGCTTTTGCTGCATATTGACTGTGCTGTCCTTGCTCCTGTCCACAGACAGCTCCTTCAGCACTGTGCTAGGACCCATTGCTTCTTAGTTCCTGTCTTTCTCTAGCTGTCTCCTCTCGTCTCTTCTGTACCATAACATTACTTTTCTAAAGACCATCCCAACACCACAAGGGAGCAGCTCCACTTTAAGACAGCCTCCTTGGATCCCCTTCCCCTTCCTGCTGCTGCCTGTTTCTCAGTTGCTAGGCTCAACAACCTCTCCAAGGGCTTTGTCTTCCTTGCCTCACACTTTCACAGAAAGGCCTAGGCAGACAGGTTCCCATATGACCACACTGAGGGGGTTTTCATCAAGCCCTCAGCAACCTTCATCAGGCCAGACTCAGTCAATGGGTAAACTCCTAACTCTTGACTAGGGATGTGACTCAGTGGCAGAGCTTGTGGAGCATGTGCAAGTCAGGGTGGTGGAGGTGAGCATGTGCAGGTCAGGGTGTGGGGGTGAGGACTGTGCTGCTGGGGCTGGAGACAGAGACTCGGGTGTCTCCTTAGCTATTTCAGCAGTAGGCAACGGGACTAACTATTCCCCCCTTCCTACTATGACTCTGTACTAGCTTCCTTCCTTCCCTGGTGTTCCTCTAACCTGACTGCCAGCTCCGTGTCTCCTTAACCTCCACTTCTGCAGTGTCTCTTGGTCCTCTCTTCCAGCTACAAGCCCTCCCTAAGGGAGTTTATGCAAACCTGAGGCTCTATGTCCTGGTATACCTCAAGTTTATATCTCCAGAGTCATAGCTCCCACTGTTTATTCAGTACATCCACTTGGATGGAAAGCAGGCAAGATGGAAGTTTTTATAAGTTTTATTTATTTTTATTTTATGTATATGGGTGTTTTGCCTGTATATAGGTAAGTATGTGTACCACAAGCATGCAGTGCCTACAGAGAGCAGAAGAGGACATCAAATCCCCTGGAACTAGAGTTATAGCCTGTTGTTAGCAGCCATGTGGGTGCTGGGAACCAAGCCCGGACTAACTTCTGCAAGAGGAACAAGTGCCCAGCATCACTGAGCTTTCTCCAGACCCCTAAAATAGAAATTCTGATTCTATTTTACCGTATCTTCTCTCCCACTAAATGACACCAATAGCCCCTGAATCTAAGAGTCATCCACAATCTTTTTGTTCCTCCCACTGCCTTCTCAAGCCCAACTCCAACATAATTCAAATGTATTTAAGAAAACAAAAATAAACAAAATCTAAAATAAAGGAACACCCTGCACTCTGCTGCCACTCTGACACCAACAGTCACTATGCCCCCCCCCACATTTGTGCTTCTATTGTGCATTTCACACACACACACACACACACACACACACACACACACACACACAAACAAAATGAGACTCACTCTAGTCCCCAAAGGGCCTGGAACACACTGCGGAGTCCAGGCTAAACCTCAAATTTGTGGCAATCCACCTGCTCCAGTCTTCTCAATACTGGGATTACAGGAGTGAGCCACCACACCCTGCATAATGCTAACCTCTGAAAACGTGAACTAGACAGTCCTTTCTGGGCCCACCCTCTCCTCAGGGCTTCCTGTTGCCTTTACAATAGTCCACAGGCTCCACAGGTTCTGGCCAATCTCGCACACGTCTCAGAGTCTCACTGCTCTGCTCTTTGGATCTAGACCTTGTCCATCCATCCTTCCACTTGCCTTTTGCCATTCATACAATATGGCGGACACATCTCCACCTCTGGGTTTATGGCTGATTTTCTCTCATCCTGGAAGGGCTGTTCCTCTCATCCAGCCCCTGTATTTGCTAGACTTGTTTCTTCACAGCATGAGCAAAGGTGTGCAAAGCTCTTTCTGGTGACCTGCGACTTTTGCTACTTGCTTATTCGTGTTGCCTCTCCTAGCTCAGAAGAATGAAAGCTCTAGAAAGTGATTTTCCATATATACTCCTAGCACAGCAACAGACCCCTATTTCGTGCTCAACTAGTAACTGTCAAGTGATTGCAATCCCTTAAAATTCTCCTTTCTCTGAATTTTTTCGTCCTTCCTCATTTCAATTTTGGACTTAACCACCTCCCCTAAGGCAAGGCCCCAGTTCCCTTCGGTACACTATTCCTCTGCAGTCCCCACCCTTTGAAGCACGGCTCCTTTAAATAGACACGGGGGGGGGGGGGGGGGGGGGGGGTGGGGAAACGCGGTCTGGAAGGCGGAGCACGGACTTGGAGGCGGGGCCTGCGTGCTGCGTGCGTGCGCGTTCCGGAGGCGCCGCCGCCGCCGCTCCCGAGGCCTCCGCTGCTGCTGCCGCCGCCGCGCAGAGCCCGAGCCCGAGCCGCGGCCGAGAGGAGGGAGGAGGAGGTGGAGGAGGCGCCGGGCCGCGGGGTGAGTGCGGGGCACGAATGGGGGGGCGCGGGCTGGCCGCACCTCGGTGGCCTCTTCACAACCGCCTGCGAGTCAGGGGCGGTGGCCGGGGGCCTGGCGGGCGGGAGGGGCCGCGGCTGGAGGCCGGAGCCAGCCACGCCCGCGGACCGAGGCGGCCCGGCTGGGCCTGCGGGACCGGGCGCAAGGGGCGGGCCGCGGGAGGGGACGCGTGTCCGCGCCCGCTCCGAGGTGTCGTCCCCGGGACCCGGGGAAGTGCAGTGCCCTCCGTGCGGCCTTTGCCCCGGCCGCCGAGCGCTGACACCTCCGCGTCCCAGTCCGCCGCCAGCCGGGTTCCCGCCCTCCCTGCCCTCTGTCTTCTGCGGCTTGCCATGTGTTCGCCTTTGCAGCGTTGCTCTCCGCTCTGGTTTCTGCTGCCTCACTTGAATTTTGTCATCGTAGAGGCCACGGTGTGATTCTTGTCTTCCTTCCGTCGAGGGTGTGTGAGGAGTGTCGCGGTGGTGGGATTGTGACTTGTCTCCTCACTCAGAAAGTTAAGGACAGTGGCTTCTGCTGAATTGTGTAATTTGCTGCTGTTGTAAGGAGAAGAGCGAGACAGAACACTTGTGCCTAAAAAAACAAAAAAACAAAAAAACCCGAGATTTCCTCACAGGATGGAAAACCAGAGTTTAGGGAACCTTTGATCCCTTGGAAAAAGAGCCAGCGTTGAGGAACGTTGGGAAGAGAAAATCATTTTGTCGCTGCTTTGAAGGAAGTACTGTGTAAGAAATAGAATAAAAGGGCAGGAGGTTAATGGGCCAAGCGTTACAGGTACCAGCCACCGTTTTCTGCTTCTTGGGTGACAGAAGATCCATTCTGTTTTCAGTAGAGTCCGAGTGTCGACCCTCAAAATGAACCAGGGTAGTTTGCCTTCCAAAGCAGCCTGTTACCAGAGATGATGCTGGAAACAGGATTTGGAAACTTTCTTTACAGAGTTTCCTGTCAGAATGTGTGGGGGTGGGTATGCCTCTGAGTAGTTTCTCTTTTCGTTTGATGTAACTGATTTCTGCAACACTTTGATACAGTAAGTGCTCGATCAGGCCCCAGACTCCTTTCTGTCTTTATGCTTTTCTGTAATACTTTGTTTCAGAATTAAATGTATATTGTTGAATATTCTTTTTTAGTGTGGTGTTTCAGTGACTCTCGTTTAGCTTCCTTGCCTCTTCAAATTCTGGGATGATTGTGTTCATTATCAACGATTAGATGTGTTCCAAAATTTGTTGACTGAATTGAGTGGTTCGGTTCCGTGCCTGATTTACATACATCTCGTATCTTTTTGAGAAGTACCTTTCAGTTAAATGTTGCATTTCACTTCCATTCTATAAAAATGTTATTCATAATCTTTTCCAGGCCGCTGATACTTTTGAGACTATGGTGAAATATATGAACTCTTTCTTTGCCCAGGAAAAACAAAATAGACATTTTTGCACAAAATTTTGCATTCAGTTTCTGGACTCCTCTAAATTCACCAGTATTTTAAAATAAGTTATATTTATTTTAAAAGTGAACTGAAGTCCCAGATATTCAGTTAGAACTTTTTAAAAGTGCACACTTTTTTGGTGGCCTTTGGATGTGATTGTGTCTTGACCTTTAATTCTGGGGATCTGGGAATAAGGTTTAAGAGTGATTGTTCTTACAATTTTATGGGGGAAATTCTCAGTAAGTACTACCCCTCAAACAGGTTTCATGTATAGCTCAATATAGCTGAGGAAGACCTTGAACTTGTGATTTTCTTGCCTCTTCCAGAGTGCTTGGATAGGTGTTTGCTTCCGTGCCTGGTTTATGTGGTGCTGGGGATCAAACCCAGTTCATGCATGGTAGATGATCAATCTGTTAGCAGTCATTTTGTGTGTAGTGCTGGGAATCTAACCTGGAATCTCAAGCATAGTTATTTGGCAAGCACTTTACTACTGAGCTGTGTCCCCAGCCCTAGCCAGCAGTCATTTTAAAACCAATACTCCCTAGTATCTTTTGGCCTCTTAAAATTATTAGCATGAATAATTAGGCTTTTACTTGTACAATGTACTTTTTAGTAATATGAGAATTTTAAAACCAAATGGTTTCTCTTTCTTTCAAGCTTGCTCGTATACATGGTTTTCATGTAGTTAATTCTGAAGACCTGCAATATTAATTCAGTAAGCAGGTATACTGTGTGGATAAAAAAGTTCTTGCTGTCATCCCTTCGGTCATGAGGGATAGACCATGACCAAGTAAATGTAGAGTGTTAGGTGATGGAGCTGTGTGGAAGAGTGAGAACCGGTGAAGACTGGAGAAAAACACTGCCAGGGAAGACCTGAGACTTGAGCAGAGATCTGAAAGGAAGTGCGGGGTGTGTGTTCCCTTGTGTTAAAAAAGATCACAGGAAGAGAGGCCTTCTAGTGCAAAGACTTCAGAGTGTACATGACCTTTCTGAGAACAGCTAGGAGGCTAGTGTGGTCTAAGAACAGTAAACAGGGAGAGAAAGAGGCCTTGAGGTTAGAGAAGTAACTGCGGCAGCCCTTTTAAAATCTTGGATCCCATAGTAAATCTTTTGGATTTTACTTTGAATGAGATGGGGAACCCTTGGAGTAGAAGAGAGACCTGATCTGATCTCATTTTGTAAATATCATTCTCACTATTGTGTGGAAGTCTGCTTGGGTTGGGGAAAATCAAGAAAAACATGCAGGGGATTGAACCCAGGTCCTCAATAACCAAGGCTCAATAACCAAGCTACATCCTGCCCTTATGTCTTCATTTCAACCTTTTAACCATTTAAAACAATCCATCTTCTTTCTGTTGGGCATGTAGGTATCTTCCCGTCTCCATTAAGATAGCAGTGAAATTTTACAGCAGTCTAAGCAATTTTTTTTCCTTTTGGAATATTTCCTTGTGATGTATTTCTAAAAGGATCACAATATATGAATAGACTTATCTGGTATATGTCTAAATTGCCTTTAAAGAGTTGGTTATCCTAGTTTCAACAGCCATGGTTGTTGAGTGTAAGTTTTATGACAATTTCTTGTTTTCATTGGGTGTCTTAACACAAGCAGTTGTTTTGGTCGCCAAATGAGATCTTTTAGAGAGGTTGAATTTAGCTCACCTCACTCTTCAGCTTTTAACTACCCAGTGCTAATTGTTAGGGATACAGGTAAATTAGAGGGCCTTTGCTCTCAGGGAGCTTTTACATTCTGCTGTGTTTCATAAAAATCTAATAGTGAAATGACTGTGAGTGTTGCCAGTGTTTTCTGTGGTTGTGAACTTTGCTAGTGGATGTTGATAGTCTCCTACAAAATAAGCACTTAGTTGTTCATAAAGAGTTTTTGACCTCTGTTATTTATGTTTTAATGATATTTTAGAATCTTATATGTTTGACAATAAGTTACACCAAGTAGTTCTTAGTTAAGAGCAATTGAATTTTTAAATTGTAGTGTGCTGTTATTCAGAAAAATAGACTGTTTCATTATGCAAGGTCAACTTTGACTCGTTGACATTTTGTTTAGGTTTAACAAGAGGATGATACCACTGTTTTCATAGAAAATTATACCACCAAGACTTTGTTCAGCATTTCTGGCTCTGGGATCTAGATGGCTTGACTTGGTCTGACAAAGCTGTGACATCTGTAAGGGAGGGAGAACAGCTGAGTCCCCAGGAAGCACTGTGGCGTTTGCTAGAGAGCAAGGGGGTGTTCACCAAAGCTCAGTTGTCAAGGCTCCTGACTCCAAACAGCTCTTGTTTTAGATGTCAATATGAATAATTTGTATAAAGCATTTATATTTATTATTGTGGTACATTTAAATTGTGAACATAAACTTCCTTCCAATGTTCTTTTTCAAATTAAGTTAATTTATGAAAAGTTACTGCATAGTTCAAGTATTTTATGCACATTTCAATGTCATGGAATTACTATATTACTTTATGTACTTTTTATCTTGTAGAAAATATTAGCATTAAATAGAAATATTTAAGCTTTCATATGTTAACGAGAGGAACTTGAAGCATCCTTTGTGTGGTGATCACAAGTAATAATTTTATGTACCTTTTAATATTCCATACACTTTAGATAATTCACATTTTGAGGTTTTTTTTTTATGGTAGTATTAGTTATGGGTTTGTAGTGAGTGATTATGGCCTCCCTCCCTGAGCATTTGATTTTGAGATGACTGGCAAATTTATTTCCAAGTTAAACTATCCTGATAAGAACTGAGCCTGTAATGTTAACTTTCTTCGTTATTATGATCAGCAAAGCAGTTCAGCAAAGAACTGTGCCATGCTCTCATTTCTGCTGAAAATAGGCCTTTCTGAGCGAGGGACGGACACATTGTGCACCCATACCTGCACCAGTGGAAAAGGGGAAGTTGTGTGATTATTTAAGGTAAAACTGAAACAAGAAATGGTGTATTTTTATAAGAGGAATAAAAATAGTCCTTTAAGTATTATTTTCAGAAGTACCTGATGCACACCTGGGAAAATAGCTTGTTTTAGGAAGTAAGCCTGAATTGATGTACAAAGGAATGGCTTTTTAAGAGTCCTTAACTTAGCTGGGTGGTGGTGGCACGGCGGCGCACGCCTTTAATCCCAGCACTTGGGAGGCAGAGGCAGGCGAATCTCTGTGAGTTCGAGACCAGCCTGGTCTACAGAGCTAGTTCCAGGACAGGCTCCAAAGCCACAGAGAAACCCTGTCTTGAAAAACCAAAAAAAAA